TGACTACGTAATAAGAAAGCTTCCTACAAAAAAAAGCCCTGGTCCTGATGGCTTTCCAGCAGAATTCTACAAGACATTCAAGGAGGAGCTGATCCCAATTCTACTGAAGGTATTCCAGGCGATTGAAAAAGATGGAACTCTCCCCAAATCATTTTATGAAGTCAACATCACATTGATACCCAAGCCAGGTAAAGATCCAACAAAGAAAGAGAACTACAGGCCAATATCTCTGATGAACATAGATGCTAAAATTCTCAACAAGATCCTAGCAAACTGGATTCAGCAATACATCTCAAAAATCATCCACCATGACCAGGTAGGCTTCATTCCCAGGATGCAAGGCTGGTTCAACATTCGTAAAACCATAAATGTAATCAAATACATCAACAGATGTCAAACAAAAACCATATGACCATATCATTAGATGCAGAAAAAGCTTTTGATAAAATCCAGCACCCCTTCTTGATAAAAACCCTTGAACATCTAGGCATACGGGGAACATACCTCAAAATAGTAAAAGCCATCTGTGAGAAACCCACAGCCAGCATACTCCTAAATGGACAAAAATTGGAACCAATTCCCCTGAAAACTGGAACTAGACAAGGATGCCCACTCTCACCCCTCCTGTTCAACACAGTATTGGAAGTCTTGGCTAGAGCAATCAGAGAAGAGGAGGCAATCAGAGGTATTCAAATAGGAAAAGAGGAAGTCAAATTATCTCTCTATGCAGATGATATGATTGTGTACCTTGAAAACCCAAGAGAATCTGTCAAAGGCCTCCTTACATTGATAAAGGCCTTTGGCAAAGTCTCAGGATACAAAATAAATGTTCAAAAGACAATCGCATTTCTCTACACCAATAATAAACAAACAGAAACCCAAATAAAAAACACAATTCCATTCACAATAGCCACAAAAAAAATGAAATACCTTGGCATCTTCCTAACCAGAGACGTGAAAGACCTTTACAATGAAAATTACAAAACACTGCTCAAAGAAATCAAAGCTGACACGAACAAGTGGAAAAATATCCCATGCTCATGGATCAGAAAAATCAACATTGTGAAGATGTCCATCTTACCTAAGGCAATCTACAAATTCAATGCAATACCCATTAAATTACCAACAACATTCTTCTCAGACCTAGAAAAAACAACACAAGAATTCATATGGAAACACAAACGTCCAAGAATAGCCAGAACAATCCTCAGCAAAAGAAAAACAAAGCAGGTGGTATCACAATGCCAGACTGCAAACTTTACTATAAAGCTACAATCATCAAAATAGCTTGGTATTGGTAGAGGAACAGGAATATAGACCAATGGATCAGAATTGAGATTCCAGAAGCAAAACCTCAATTTCTCAACCAACTCATCTTCAACAAAGCCCCCACCACCTACCACTGGGGAGAGGAGAACCTATTCAGTAAATGGTGCTGGGAAAACTGGCTGACCACATGCAGAAGACTGAAACAGGACCCCTATCTATCCCCATGCACAAAGGTTAACTCCAAATGGATCAGAGACCTAAATGTAAAACCTCAAATCATAAGAACCTTAGAAAAAGAAGGAAATACTCTCATGGAAATCAGAACTGGCATCCAATTCCTGAACAAAGCCTGAAACCCACAGGTCATAAGAGAGAAGATAGACAAATGGGACTTTATTAAACTGACAAGCTTCTGCAAAGCCAAAGAAACCATCAAGAGAGCAGGGAGACAGCCTACAAACTGGGAAAAGTATTTGCCAACTCTAGGTCTGACAAAGGCTTAACATCCTGGATCTACAAGGAACTGAAACATACTGAAAAGAAGAAAACAAACAACCCCATTATAAAATGGGCAAAAGGTATGAACAGACACTTCACAAAAGAAGACATCCGAACAGCCAACAAACACATGAAGAAATGCTCAACCTCACTAATCATCAGGGAGATGCAAATCAAAACCACACTGAGATACCACCTAACTCCAGTCAGAATGGCAATTATCAACAACTCAAAAAATAACAGCTGCTGGAGAGGGTGTGGTAAAAAGGGAACACTTCTACACTGTTGGTGGGAGTGTAAACTAGTGCAACCTCTGTGGAAAGCAGTGTGGCGATTCCTAAAAGCTCTAAAAATCGACCTTCCATATGACCCCGCAATTCCCCTACTGGGAATATACCCTGAAGAACTCAGATCACTCTGTAAAAAAGATACCTGCACACGTATGTTTATCGCAGCGTTGTTCAGAATTGCAAGAACCTGGAAACAACCATGCTGCCCATCAAAAGAGGACTGGATTAAAAAATGTGGTACATATACACGATGGAATACTACGCAGCCATAAAAAAGAACAAAATCATGAATTTTGCAGCAACCTGAATGGAACTAGAGTCTGTAATACTGAGTGACCTCTCACAGAAACAAAGATCCGAGTATCACATGTTCTCACTCATATAATGGACCTTGAACATCCAATGTAATACTATAAGAAAATGACTGATGGTACTGGGAAACTATAGGGGGGAGGGGGATGTGATTAACAGTAGCAAATATCTGTCTGGGGATGGGAAAATACCTCTTATCAACAGGGTGCCTGAATGAAACATAATTGTACACCTAACCCTTAACTGTACCCCACAAAACCATAATAAAAAATATTGAATAAAAAAAAAAAAAGACTCCGACTCAAAAAATAAATAAATAAATAAAAAGGAAGGGAGGAAGGGAGAGAGGAGGGAAACGAAGAAGAGGGAGGAAAAGAGGGAAGTAAGGGAGAAAAGAAAAAGACAAGGAAAGGAAAGGAGAGAATAAGGGAAAAGGAGGGGAAAGAAGGGCAGAGCATGGAAAAGAGAAAAATGAAAGGAGAAGGGAAAAGGAATACCAAGGGAAATATATCTGGTACATCGATTCCTTCACTACATTAAAGTAGGCAAATGAAGGAAAGAAAGTTAAGAAAGAATATCCGTGATCAAAATAATCGAAGAACGACACTCGTTTCTGCTTTTAGGGACACCAAAGTATATAAATACAAGGATTTATTATAGGTACCAAGTTGGAACAATTACAAAACCATAAAAAGAAAAGGAGTCTGCAAGAGCAGAGGGGACACAGTGGGTGACATAAGCGTGAGCCATCTTAGATCGTGGAGGTGACGACCAGTTCATTCTGCTGTTGAAGGGGCCTCAGGGACAGCATCCATGTTCTGTCAGAGCAGCCAGTCAGACTTCAGAACACTTACAAAAGTACAGAACAATTTTCACATTCCCTGGGCAATTAAGGTAAAGCACAGCCCACAGTAGTTAATGTGGCAGCAGACTGCCTTTCCTACATACCAGCATGAATACTGTGGTTCACTCACTTTCCAGAAAATATTGAGGTTTTCATGAAGATAATTGTCCAATGCATACAACCAGTCTTCATTATAGGATGGAGTTCTTCTCAAGTTTTAGTTTAATGATGGTAAGAGTAAAATACTGATTTGTGTGTTCCCATAGAGGAGAGATGTGGATGATATTCTAAAGTTTGTATATATACATACATTTTTTTTTTAAGTCAGAATCTCACTCTGTCGCCCAGATTGGAGTGTAGCAGCATGCTCACAGCTACCACAGCCTCGACCTGCTGGGCTTAGGTGATCCTTCTACCTCAGCCTTCCAAGTAGTTGGGACTACAGGTGTGTGCCATCATGCCCAGCTAATTTTTTTTTTTTTTTTAATTGTAGAGACGAGGTTTCGCCAAGTTGCCTAGGCTGGTCTGGAACCCCTGGCTCAGGCAAACCTCTCGCCTCTGCCTCCCACAGCGGTAGGATTACAGGTGTGTGCACCATGCCCAGTGTTGAAGTTTGTGTATATTTTTAAAGGTCCTTACTTGGTGAAGCAAAAAGAAGGCAGCTCTTTGTGCACCTTTATATCAATGTTAAATGCTATAGATTCCCAAAATCTCATGTTCTGGAGCCACAGATATAGAACGCTAAACCATCTTCTCACAGGCTGAGGACACAATAATTCAGAAATCTGGAAGACTATTTAAAAAGCCCTGAATGTAGAGGGATACATAAATGAAAAAATTCAAGAGACTGATGTAATGTACAAATAACCCCAAGCTGTTAATACTGACCTTTGAAATTAAATGTTCCCCTTTGTTCTTTTTCCTCTTGAAAGAAACAAGAATAACTTCCCATTTGTTTGCTATTAATGATGGTGGACCTAAAGGTAATTCAAGTTATTAATACAGGCTTAGTTCTCAAAAACCTTCTTAATGCAAATAAAATAAAAAATTTTAAATAGAAATAATTCTGTAAATATGCAAATTGGAAATGAAAATAGCATTCAGTTGACGGCAAGTGAGCAAAAAAGCTCAGTCAGCAAAGATATTTAGAATAAAACCAATTTTGGCTAGTATGATAGGTTAAAATTTTGCATACTCACCTGTACTGGGTATAAAGGATGCTTCCTGATACGTTGACAAGGTAATTATTCTCAAGTAGTCCATCATCTTTTTTCCAAGTTACATTTACTGAATTCAGATCTCCAGATGTTGTAAACTGGCATGTGAGTTTTATATTAGAAGGCCTTTCTAAAGTGATGTTTTTTTCTACTGGCATACTGGAATGTTCTATTAGCACAGAAGAAGACAAAACATTAAAGTTACATTTGAGGAAAACCTGATTATAAAACATTCTGAATTATGAACAGTACTCTATTGATAGTTACTTGATGTAACATTCATTTGTTTAAAGAATTATGCCTCTGTCAACATAGATTGGGTTCCCTTCCTTTCATAGGCACACATGAAGAAAAGTTTTAATCTAACATTAACAGAATCACAAAAACCTAAGACTGTGGTATTTATCTCTTAAGATCTCTGGAGTGGAACTCCCGGCATATAGGGAAGAGAATACTATAAAACATGTGCCCATGTTCTGACAGAGTAAAAACAGCACAACTGCAAAAACAAACACACACTAGCCAGGTAAAACAGAGTGACTATTTCAACTCTTTTTTGTGATCATGTCGTTGGTACCTATTATAAGAATGTTCTGTGAGTAATGTGAATTTGAGTGATATGGTACCTTTCCCAGGCTTAAGAAACTGTAGGAGCTGGCCATAGATACAGATGTAAGATAGAGAATTTAAATTGGCATCCTGTAGTTCTGAATTTTAACTGAATTTGAAATATCAGTATGAATCCATGAAGTATTTATCTTAAAATATATTTATATACACACATACATACACACATATTGAAGAGGTCCAGAATACACCACTGTAGCACAAAAATTACTCTAAGCAGAAGGCAATTATTTGAGTTCCTGAAATCTCATCTTTAACTAAAAGCAGAGCCTCTCAGAAAAACTCAAAAAAGCCTCAGCTGTCATAAATCCCCCTGCTAGAAGCAATAGAGCAGAGTGTCTCTTATCATGGAAGATGAAGTCCTCGTATCACACATAAACAGACACTGTCACAAAACTATCATATCGCCTATCCTTTATCCTAAGAGTGCATTTATCCTTCCAAAAATTCATTCATTTGTATATAAGTGGCCTTTCTCCCCCTCCCTTTGCCTTATTAAGATGACATATAAGTCCCAAATTCTAACTGTCCCTTTGAGCTACATTTTTTTCTGTAAATATCTGTACCATGTGAGTACATCTGCCTTTTGTCAATATAACTCACTAAACCTAAGAGAACAGAGGAAAAGTGTTCTCTCCCTGACAGTTTGGTAAGGAGGAAGGGATAGTTAGAACTCATGCACCCACACCCATACCCCATGCATCTCCAGTTCCACAGCCTGCAGCTGAAATCTCAAGGCCTCTGACGAAGCCAGCAAGTATAGGTTTTATTGAACAACCTCCCAGATTTCTGCTGAGTCCAATTCAGTGAGGACAGAATTCTCAGGCGCCCAAACACTAACCCTCTGACAATACACTTACGCATACACACACACATACACACACACACACACACACACACACACACACACACACATATACACACCCCATTTATGAAGACTATAAAGATACATAGAGCCAACTTAAATTTTGAACAGTGGTAAATAAAGGGAAAACATCAAGCATGTACCTTGCTTGCTGTAAACTAATTGTACCACTGGTTAACCAAATAGTAGAGAAAGAAAACCTTATAGAAGTCCAGCAAATAAATGAAAAATAAGTCACAGAAATATGCTACATTGATGTAGCAAGCCCTAGTGAATCATCTAGGCATTTTGCATCAACTGCAACAATAATCTCAAAAACAGAATTATGTTCTGCTTGAGGAAGAACACATCACCTAGGAAGTAATCTTGTCAAAAAGGAGAGGGAGGGTGTCTTGAAACTGATTGAGTCGCTAGATTCAATTCCCAGCTTACAGGAAATATACAGAATGAAAGAACACATTAAACTACATCTCATGAAAGCAATCAACAAAATCCAGATTGTGAAAACACTACAAGATGAATGGTCCGGTTTATTCAGTAGATAAACTTCAAAAGGGAAACCTGACGATTATAAAATGCTTTTAAAGACATGCCTTTAAAGAAAAGAAAAACTGAACTATAATTTCTGGGGATGCACATCTGGGTAATAAGACAATATATAAGCAAAGAAATTACTATATAAAAATCAAAATACTTTTAAGGGGATGGGAAGGAGCTACATTTGGGAGAGGGCACTGCATTATGTAAACAAATTTCTCAAGCTCTTCTTATACTCAATAATGGCATGGTATAATTAAAAGTAGAAAAGCAGAGCCAAAGTGTAGATAGAAAAAAAGAAATAGAACTTAAATGCAATACCACATCACTTCTAATTACATTTAAAACTTTATAAAATGCTTCCATAAGCAATGGAACCAGGTGCAAAGTTTGCAAACAGTGAATTACAGTTAGTGTAAACTGCTTTGTGAGCACATGCTTGAAATAACTGCTTGTGTAATTGCAAAACTGCTGAATTGAATTTTATGCTCAAAGAAGAAAAATAACAAAAATAACATCTGATGTCTCTAGAATATCAGATATTGCCAGAGACTACCTAATCCCTGAAATTTCCTTACTTTGCTTCTATTCCTGTAACCATGTATATTTTAAGTATTTTGCTAGCCACACAAAATTCTTCCAAATACCTCGTAAACGTTGATGCCCTTTGGAATTTTTCGCTCTTTTACTTCTCAATTTGACACTCCTATGTTGGAATCAACTATTATCTCTAATAATCTTTATTTGCAAAACTCTAAGTTCCATTCAAGACTTTTTTATTGCTCTCCAGGCGCACAGCTCCAGGTGTCTATTGAGCATCTGAACCTGGGTATCCCATGGGAACTTCCAACTCAAAATATCCACAGCAGAACATTAACATTCCTTTCCCCTAACCCATAACATGGAATTACATGCAGTATAGTATTCAGTTGATTCTACAGCTGAAATGCAGAATCAAATTTGCCCAGTTTTTCCCATCCCTCCTAATATAAGCCTTCATTATCTTTTACTAGGACCAGGCAAATGACCTCCTAACTTCTCTTGACTAATTTATTTTCTTTCACCTATTTTTACACTTTCCACCACCTAGTCCTTCTAAAAGCAAAACTCAAATTATTTAACTGCCCTGATTAGATACTTTTCATTTGCAAAACAAAGTATCTTTGTATTGGATACCATGATTTCCTTATTGTAAAATGGGATAATACATATTTCATGAGACTGCAGCAAGTGCTATTATAAGAAAAACACTAACAATATGTATAGTAATTGCTCAATAAATGTTCACTTAACTTCCCTGCACCATTATCTCACTGGGGAATAGAACAAAAGCTATCATGTACAGTGCTAAGATTTATATGTCAATTATATGATTTAATCTTCACAACAATTCTATCACTGTTATCATTTTACTTTACAGATGAGGCAAAGAGAGGTTGACTATGTTGTCCAACATCCCACATCAAGATAATGGCAGCACTGATTCTCAAATTTAGGTATGGCTGAGTTTAGATTCTCATGTCCAACAATATTTACCCATTCTCAAACATATAAAATTCTCATCACCTTTAATCTGCTGAAACAAAATCTTTTAAAAAACCATTCAGAATGGGGAGACATCCCATACAGAAAAAATATTTGCCAACTGTATATCTCTCAAAGATCTAACATCTTGGATCTACAAGAAACTCAAACATGCCGAAAAGAAAAAAACAGTCCCATTAAAATTGGGCAAAGGATATGAACGGAAACTTCTCAAAAGAAGACATACAACCAGCCAACAGATACATGAAGAAATGCTCAGCCTCACTAGTCATCAAATAAATGCAAATTAAAACTATACTGAGATACCACCTCAGTCAGGATGGCCATCATCAATAACTCAAAACACAGCAGATGCTGGAGATGATGCGGGGAAAAAGGAACAGTTCTACACTGTTGGTGCGAGTGTAAACTAGTACAGCCTGTGTGGAAAACAGTGTAATATCTAAAAATTGACCTTCCATACGACTCTGCAGTCCCCCTTCTTGGAATATACCCAGAGGAACTCAAATCACTCTATAAAAAAGATACATGCATACACATGTTTATTACATTATTCACAATAGCAAAAACATGGAACCAACCATGCTGCCCATCGAAAGAGAACTGAATTTTTAAAAATTGTGGTACATATACATGATAGAATATTACAGCCATAAAGAAGGACAAAATTATGAACTTCACAGCAACCTGGAAGGACTTAGAGGCTATAATACTGAGTGATCTATTACAGAAACAAAGAACTTAGTACCATATGTTCTTATTCATAAGCGGACCTTGAACAATTATTATAATACTATAAGAAAGGGACTGGCAATAAGGGGAAGGTGCCAGGGGAGGAGAGTGGGATTGGCAGTAGTGGGAAACTGCCAGGTGGGTTGGCACACCTTATCAAGGGTACCTGCATAATGAACATTTGTAAACCTAACTCTGAATTATACTCCACATCTTTAAAATTAAAATTTTTTTTCTAAAAAAAGTAATTACTAAAGAACGATTAAGCAAATTTATAATGTAGCTATATACCAAGGTGAATGGTGTATTCACCACATTTAAACCATTCACATTTTCAACTAAACATTCTTTGACATAATTTAAACTGCAATGTAGTCTTTCTTAGTGCAAGGTCACCCTCCAATCCCTAATTGTCATCTTGTCATTTCCTATGATACATTTCAGGTGCTTCTGCAGCTTTCTTTCCTTCCTGGAAAGAAATTACAGCATCAAAAATATGCTAGTAGTTCTACTTTTTTACATATTTTGTGGTTAGCCAACAAACTAGTGTGAGCTTAACCGACAATGCTTCAACTTCCTGAATATTGCACAACTGCAATGCCTTTTTGCTGTTCTAGCTTATTTTAAAAACATCAATGACATCTACCTTTCTGAAATTACAGAAATGTGTTAAAAGGTTGTTCTTAAAACCATATAGTAATTTATATCTGTCGAAATACTCTCTTCACAGTTAAAATTTTTTAAGTAACTTGGCCTTTCAGCAATTTGCAATCTTCAGAGAAATGCCATCTAGATCTTCTTGGGTTCATTTAGGACTCAGTATCTTTAACAAAATTACTAGAAATAAAAGTCTACTTTGTTAT